ATTATCACAAATTCAGCTTTTAAGAGCAGGTTATTTTACAAGGTTTTTTTACTGTAGTGATTTTTATATCATTCCTTCCAGTATGCAAAAATATTAACTATCTGCCAACCTTCTATTTACTAATCTGAATTGAAAATTTTAAGTTATGATGGTATAAAAGTTAACTGTATATTTGTAGCATACAGATAATCTGGTCTTATATCTTACTCCCAGGGACTTAACAACTTAAAACTACCGAGATCCTCACCATATAACTTGTCCTTTGCTCTATTCTACCCAATGGGACAAGCTATATGGTCAAAGATTTTAAGGGTCGGGTAGCACAAAGCAGTGTAACGTGGGTATATTTGTTGTACGTACACTAGTCGCATTATACTATCACACAGGTTAAAAAGGTAGAACCATATTTCGGTTTTCTTATTTAATGGGAGGATAGGATGCATAAGGCGTACGAAAAAACTGTCACAATTAAAGGAGTTAAAATATTTCATGATTATTTGTTTACTTGATAAAATCTTAGAACATGCACGCATGTATATAAAGATACGGACATAATCATTAATCTTGTTTCGTTCATGGTATGTTCACATTGATTTCCTTAGTGGCCATAGTATTTAATTCTTCTTTTCAACATGCAATATATTCTTTCCACCACAAGCATGACTACATCCATTTATTAAATTTCAGGTTCAATCAAGTACGTGCCAGATGGATAAGACGGTTATATGTGCTTACAAATATGAAATAAAGCCGGTTTTGGTGGTCCGGATGGAGGTGGTTTTGCTTTCATTTGTTTTGTTTTCTTTGTATCATTTTGCTTATAAAATTAATCAACATAATAGGATCGAAGTAGAAAATGTTTACATTTAAATTAAATTATTATCAAACCATAAATAAGAAAATAACTGTTTCTTTACCTATTATCATATGTGACACCATCCGTACCGCACTGTTGGGAATGTCCAGCTCCATCACATGAATGATGTAAAACCCAATTGCAATTCGTGAAATGGTCCGGTGCATAGACCACTGTGAATACAATTACCGTTATTAATCACATATGAGACTAACATAATGAGGACTTAAAAGTCCGTACTTAGCCCACGAAAATGTTCCCAATTTTCTATTCTTAAGCAAAAAAGGTTCCTGTGGACTTATATGATCATAAAGGAGATTTGTCGAAAGACCTTAGAAACACGTATGAATCACCACTGTAAATGTTTTCCAAACTACTTATATTTCATAATCAACACAAGCAAAAGTGGCAAACGATGCTAAGATATAAGAGCGTAATGCTGTAATTTATTTGGACATTGAATTTACCGTTTTCAAAATGTGAGGTAAAAGATGATTTTGAATTTGCATAGAACATTTGCACCACTTACAAACTTTTTATGGAAAATACATAAATTACCATCTGAGTGTGTTCAATACATTGAATGATACATTCCTGCTACTTTTAACCAATAATTGTTTCATTGATCCATTGATCTAGCGTGCTGCTATAAAATTGTCCTTGACACACTAAATTTTCTCAGCAAATAATAATTTCAGGCCACCTTTTCAAACACAGTACGGTGCCACTAGGCTATATGTGTGGTCGCTCACGCGCTTGTTTGTGCGTGTAATAGCCAGTAGTGGTTTGTGCCGTCGTAGTTAGCGATAGTGAATCATGTCTGAACATCGTTTAAAAACAAGCGTTTATATGATCCCGCATTCGACATGAACGCACCATTACTCAAGGATGAGTCTGTGCGTGACAATCAGCATTATTCTTATGAAGCACAAGAACCAAACCAACGTGGGCAAATCGAACTACAAGTCGAAAATACATTAGGGTATTTCTTTCCCGCAGAGGCATATATTGAAGTTCAGCGTGTACTTTAGAGAGATGACAATAATCCATAAGCTGCAGATGACAAATGTGGATTATTAATAATGGTGTTATGTCGTTATTTAAAAGTACCGTGTGTATGATTGATGATATTAGACAAATCGAAGTATGTCACAATGATGTCGACGTTGTTACGATGATAATCGGCCTTGCAAAATCTGCCGATTTATCAATGATGATCTCAAATAATATTACTGACTTTCCTAACCATGCACATAGTATGATATTCGACAAAGATGAAACTTCGCCGGCACCACAGACACCGATGCGAACCCGATAGTCCATGGCGCTAATCCAGAATTTAACCTGGGATTTTCAACACGGCGATCCCAGTATTGATGCTCAAGGAAGATTCCGTTGTGTGATACTGCTGTCACATATCTTCGGATTCTGCAGATATGTTAGGAGAGTTATCTTTGGGGCAAAACATACGCTGAGTGAGTTCGGAAGTCCACTGACAATGATGCAATCTGAAGATAAAATGCTGCAGCTGCGGGTAAAACAATGCTAATAAACTTGCACTGTACATGCCAACATTTTTTTTTACATGAGTAAAAGAAGCGCGTTTTGTTATCGTTCATGGGTGGTGATGGTATCAAACGTTGTTATGGCTGACAATGACCACAGACGGTTACAAGCACAGCCAGCAGATTTTCATGACAGTTAGCATCTCAACAGGGAACTGCGACAAAATGTTCGTTGCGTTTCAAGGTAACACAATATTAGAAAATCAAGAAACAAATCCATTAGTGTTTGACATATTAGCGGTGCCTACAATTTTAATGAAAATAAGCGGACATCAGGAATCATCAGAAGACATCATACTGAGTTTCGAACAAAACAACTTAGCACGGGCATATCGGTTTTTCCCTCACCGTGTTAAATCTTTTTATAATTGTCTACATGATTGCCATATTGTTGTGTAGCTGTAATATTAATGGTCTGTGGCCTCCATTGCCAATAACTATTGTCATTGCCATGTAACTGTAGTAGTATGAACCTTTCATAGCAGTAATTCACATCACCACTCAATAGAGTATGCATCTTTCTTGGACAGTTGTGCAGTCATGGAATATTTTAACATCTTTCATAAAATAAACTACAGAAATATTACGATCGATGAAAATAGGATATGTTGTTACACAACATAAATTCCACTATCTGGCTCGCACAGCTAATTCTAAATACATATTTGGTACACTTAAGCATCCACTTACCTTTGCAGAGGATAATTAGAATTGGTATTACTACTTTCATTTTTATGGGGTTAGTCGGTCCGTTCCCTTTAGAGACAGCTCGAAATCACTCAATATTATCACAGCTTCAAACGCTTAAATCCTATCACGTGATGGTGCCAAACCCCTGGACATAAATTGAGATATTTCCTGAAGTCCGAAACACAAGATAATTCAGTGATTATATAAAAATTGAAGACTACACGATACATGGCAAATTTTAAAAGATACCATCGCAAAGGGAATATTTAAACAAAATTCCTATATCCAGTTGGTGGTGGATGGGTTCAAAGATCCGTTAGAAAGCTTAACCTGGTCTTTACGTTTCCAAGTTTGTATGCAAATACATGTGAGAGCAGAACGATATACTTTCTGAACAAAAATGTGTAGCCTTTGCTAAATTTTCTAAAAGAACTTTTCCAAAATTAGTATGTAGTAGCTATTGTACCCGAGGTTTCATTTACAACCAACCGTGTTTGTCCAGACTTTTATTCTTGTGGTATGTGAACCTGACAGCTATGGAGAAGACCAGAGCTTGAATAGCGAGGAACGTTATATTTTGTGTAACGTAACGTACCACATCTTGCAAAATCAAACGCCTGACAATTAGTTTCAATAAGAGCAATAACTCAAAAACATCAATAGGCCTTACAATCATTGGACTTTCCTCCTATTTGATGGCAGAGTTGGCCAGGCCTGGGAAGTATGTATGCATCGAGATTGAGTTTTTGCTTTCCATCTGTGCTCAACCAATCAAAACGTTACTTTTATTACATCAACATTGATAGGCTGATAATGAAAGTCAAAGTTAAACTCAGGCTGAACTCCCTTCTGCTAAATATAAACTCAGAAGAATTGAAAATGAACTCATAGAGACATTAACAAATTGTTATTTGCTAGAACTGGAATGTGTGTAATAGTTTGTGAATAATAATAATAATAATAATAATAATAATAATAATAATAATAATAATAATAATAATAATAATAATAATAATAATAATAATAATAATTGGTAGTATAGATGTAGTCGTATTATTATTATTATTATTATTATTATTATTATTATTATTATTATTATTATTATTATTATTATTATTATTATTGTCTGATTTGATATATATGAAATATACTTTTAGCAATTGCAAGCGAAATAAGCACAGTGTTTGACTTAAGAGTATACTTGGCAAGTCCTCTATTAAAAGAGATAATATATGAAATGAATTTAAATGTTACAAAAGTGTATGAATCGAACTTTATCTTTTAACATTCTCGGATTTTTCAATCTGCAATTTAACAAGAGAGGGAGAGAGAGAGAAATATCATGGAACTAAGTGCTTAACTTTTCGACATTGTGCCCAATCAGATCTAAAGCATGGGAAAATTGGTTTCATTGTCATATGACAAGTTTCAAATCGTGATTTCTTTCCGATATCTCTTAACATTCTAATGTCGGCATTCAATAGACACTTAAACATTTTTAAAAATAGGAGCTGTATGTATTTATCAATATTGTTCACCTCACCCATCAATCACTGTTGATATTACAAATAAAACAATTGAAAGGCCTAATTTGTCAAAAATCTCGTCGACGTAATAATAGTTTTCTACACACAAGCACGTGCAAGTTTATGTAAGTGATTTCGATTTTGAACGTGACTATAACAATTCTTTTAGTCATATCGCTATGTTGTCTGCCGTGTGGCAGTTTACAGTGATGTCTAGCACTAAGGCATCATGCAGCAGACATGTAGCATCATGCCCCACCTAATCACATTAGCCTGACACCATGTCGACCAGTCCTAACACTAACTTCGTAATGCTGAGCGACAAGCGAGGCAGCTGTAAGTACGAGTTTTATCTGTTTGATATGACTCGGTCGGGGTTTGAACTCGCGACCTCCCACATCCGAGGCGAACGCTCAAGCCACTAGGCCACCGGAGCTGTCACATACGATTAATGCCTCATCTGATGGAGATGAGTTCTGATTTGATTTAGGGTAAACTTGAGGGAGATTTTAGAGGAATTCATTTTTATGGAAAATCGTTTAATTAGATAGTCTCGAAAGATATATGATGATGACAGAAAACAGACAGGTAGATCGATAGATAAATAGATACATACCTATATACATGCATGCACACACGTATGTACGTACGTGCATGCGTACGTACGTACATACATACATACATACATACATACATACATACATACATACATACATACATACATACATACATACATACATACATAAATACATACAGACAGACAGACAGACAGACAGACAGACAGACATACATACATACATACATACATACATACATACATACATACATACATACATACATACATACATACATACATACATACATACATACATACATGGACTGCCTGCCGATGATGGATGGATGGATGGATGGATGGATGGATGGATGGATGGATGGATGGATGGATGGATGGATGGATGGACGATGATGATTATGATTTATATAGATAGCATGTCTAAACTATATACACACTGGTGATATATTTAATATCCTGTGGTAATTACAAAGGACATGGGCAATCTAAATTTTCGTAATCTCACCGTATAGAACTATTTGTAATATGTTCGTTATGGGGTAGAAATGCAGCAAACAATAACATCCAATACAACAGTAAATTCCCAAATTATCTGAATGTTTACCCAAGGTAGGGCTCAAGACGACTGCACCTCATGCAGAATTAATTTATACTATACACCAGGGTGAAAGTTTATCAAAACTACAAAACAGAGACAATGTTGGGGTTGATTTACAATACATATTCATGCCTTTACAGTGACGACAGAGCAGAGACCCAGGGCACAGGTCCAATTCCTACGGGTCAGCCTGATAAACAGTATCAGTTGTGGAAACAATGTAGAATTTGTTTCTAACATTGCTATATATCACCGCTTAAAGAGCTACATAGTTAAACTACCATAAACATCCAGGTATCTTATCTGATTAATAATCAATATTTATGCAATAGCATGAACCGAAAGATGAAATAATATGACGGAAAACACAGAAAAGTTAAGTTTTTGAACAAAATTGTCAAGAATGAATAATTATGGATAAGTAAGTGTTTTGGCTTAACACCATTTTTCAGCACATGATACATGATAAATGACGGAGAGCATACTTTGTGGAGGAGGAACCCGGAAAACCCCGGGAAGAGCCACCAACCAACTGGAAGATATTCTAATTATTTGGAACACAAGCAGGAAAAACTAGATATGATTATTGAACATCATGTGTTGATTTGAGTGTGTATCATGGTGAAGAGGGGCATTACCATTTGAAATACATCATAACCACAAAAGATTGTGTCAAATTGGGAGAATAAGAAAAAAAAGACTTTGAGCTTCATGGGGATTAGGTCAGCAGTTTCTGAAAATGTACTGGAAGTAATTACGATCTAAGCGTGTTTTGCAGACATTTTAGTTGAGCATAACATTTGCCTTCATTGCATCAGCCCCAGGTCACACTTCTGGATGGTTTAGATGCATGTTTTTCATGTCTACAATAGGCAATACATGATCGTGTTTTGTACCTTAAAGAAAATTGGTTTAAGTTAAGGGCAAATATCAAGTACTTTACTAAGAAAGCCTTGTTAGGGCTGACAGGTCTAGTCATCCAAAAATCTGTATCGAGAATATCAATATTTGCTACTAACATATTGCATAGTTATTGGATAAAGATATGTATTATATAGGAACCTTTGTATACTTACACATATTGATACATCATAACACAAATGAATGCTGATACATATTAATGCATCAAAACATGACTGAATGCCGATAGCTATTAATGCATCAAAACATGACTGAATGATGATACATATTGGTACATCTCAGTAAATCTGGATGATTATGCATAGTGATGAATCAGAACAAAGCTTGATGATGATACATATTGGTACATCACAGCTTGATAATGATGATACATATTGGTACATCACAGTCACAACAGGATTGGATGATGATACATATTGATACATCTAAACTTGACAATGATGATACATACTGGTACATTACAGCTTGACAATGATGATACATATTGGTACATCACAGCTTGACAATGATGTTACATATTGGTACATCACAGCTTGACAATGATGATACATATTTGTACATCACAATTTGACAATGATGATATATATTGGTACAACACAACATTAGGATGATACATATTGATACATCACAACATGACTGGATGCAGATACATCAGAAAGTATTTGACCACAAACAATCAGTGCTTGATGTAGTCACAATGTTAAGAAACAGGAAATATTAAATACATTCCTTCACATGACAGTCTCATGATATTGTTTGTTTCCAATTTTAGTCATATAGTCTTCCAGTCAGTAAAATTGCATTCTAAATTCACAGTTCTGCAAAATCAATTATAAAACAAAAAAATCATATTTGTCTCAATTTAATGATCAAGATATCATTTAATATTTTCAAACATTATGTATATGTATGTATCTCATTTAATATTAATGAATATAATATAATTTTTATGAACACTTAATACTTGTACATATTTAATATTTTAAAATGTTATAAAATATCTATATATAAATGAATATTTATCATTGTTTAATATTTATAAAGATCATTTAATATTTATTAATATCATTGTATAGTTTGAACTTATTCCATTCATTGGCAGTTTGAAACAGATTGAATCATCTAATCACTTGGTCAAGAAAAGTTTCCTTCCTGTGTTGGAATATTGTGATTGCTTCAGGCATAGGGGATTCACAGTAGAATGTACTCAAATTTGCACAGCTGAAATGTCAGGTATCATTATGAGCCATGTAACTTGTACATAAATATTGTATGAGTAACAGTTGTGTTTCACTACACGTTCATGTATTCAAAATAAGTCACTTGTAACAATTGTGTTGTTCTGTGTGCTATAGCACATTTTCCATATAAAACACTATTTGAAGTTTATAGCAATTGCTCATATTAACCTTCACTGAGTACCTTAGCATTTTTTTCAGCATTGTCTTTCAGATCATGAAATCTGCTGTATGCTGTTTTCTTGTTTTTCGTACAGAGATATTGTGATTCTGTCCATCAGTCGTTTGGTCAATCTGTATGGTCACTGTGATTTAGTGCATTGGTTATTCTGTCAGTCAGTATCATCATTGTGTTCAGTCCAGGGGTCCTTGTGTCAGTCAGTATAGTCATTGTGTTCAGTCCACCAGTCCTTTTGTCAATCTCTATGATCAGTGTGATTCATTCTGTTGAACAGTCTGTATGGTCATTGTGATTCAGTCCAGAGGAGTAGTAGGGGAAAACCAGGTTCCTAGCGCAAAGACCCTTTTTTTCACCCCCTCCTGCCCTCCTAACAAATACAAATTACCCCTCTTTTTTGTCCTAAAAATCCCACCCCAAGCGGTTTACACAAAACCAAAACCAGGTTGTTAGCGCATAGACCTGCTCTATACCTGTAAAAACAGCCATGTACAATATATTTAGTCTAGCCGAGTCAAACTAGGTAGCTCTATTTTAACCTTGAACAAGGACGATTAATGCAGTGACGTATCCTACATATGTGTTATACAGTGATCACGTGATCATGTGGAATTTACTGGAACAGAAAATATGTAATATACAAAAATTGCGTGTTCCGAAGTTTCTAGAACAGAAAATACTGCAATGCTCATGCGCAGACCTCGTATATAAAAGGCCAGCAGACGCATAACAAAACTGTCTAGACAGGTAACATGTGTGCAAAGATCACGTGGGCGCCCAAGCGAAAATTAAACTACGGATTTGGTGGTGGAGAGCGAATTCTATTATAATTATTGTAAGCGGACACATTTACAAGGTAGAAAAGGTAAGCACATTATTCTTAAGTTTAGATAAATATTTTACATCATATCATACATTTTTTGATAATCTTTTTCATAATTGCTAACCCCCATTGGTAAAATATCTGTTAACATATTATCAATAACGCGAAACTCGCTTATTAAGTCATCCATATCATATTTTACACCTTGCAAGTAAGATTGAATCTGATCAAGTAGTTTTTTGTAAGTTATAATGGATATTCGACAACCATGCTGTTTTGTTTAAAAGTCTAGGTTCAACTTTTTTACACGCTGTTGAAAGAGAAATACCAACACCAGATATGATTAGCAAAATCGGGTTTAATGATGCCCTACTTGAAATTATACCAGAATTGGTTATTAATTATGGTAGATATGATATTATTCCAAGTATTTTGTTATAGTATTTGTAACATTTTTTCACTCACCAAAGTTTTTTGTGATGATATTTGTAGTATTGTATTAGTGCGTCCACATCTTAATTTGGAATATCTTTTGAAATATGATTGAAATCAACTGTACTTTTTTCATTATAATATTAGTTTACATTGTCCCAGGTCTGACTGCGTAGCTAATAGTAAAACTCGATAGTTCAGACAAATTACAAACATCAATAATAAGAACCTACTGTAAATATTTATCAACTGGTTCAAGTATAAATTCTTCTTCAAAATTTTCGTTTATTATTTAAGATACTACTCCAGATGAGACATCATTTGAATAATGCCATGGATATGTGGTAAATATTCTAAACTTTATTTCGCTAAGCACTGTAAATCTATACACACCGGTAACTTCTGTAGTGTGTTTGATATAAATATTTTCTGGTGTCCATATTTCTGAGCCAGCATCAACAGTATACACATAATTTTTAGTGTTTTGTGAGGAATTTTAATCAGATTCGTTTTCTCAATAATATCAGGAATTCCACTGATAATATCATTGAGTTTTGTGTTAATATTAGCGAGTGTAATATCAACATTTAGTGGACTCCCAAAAAATTTGTTGTTGGTTTTGTTTATATCACTACGAAAATTTAAAACGTACTCACTTGATTAGTAAAATCAA